TTGAGAGTGGCATCGTTTGCTGGGGCATGAGGAGTTTTTGTTACTTCACCTTTCTAACCGTACTGTGCCAAAGTGTGAAACAATTGAGCCTGTATAATAGCCAATCTCTGAGCTAACTGAGCATGTATAGTCTCCTGGAAGTTGGTGAAGTCATCTTTGAAGACACCAGCTTCGTGGGATACAATGGAAGCCACCGGAGTAGAGACGTGGACACTTTTCTTAGCCTTGAGGACCTCATGCAGCACAGAATAGCCTTCTGAGGGAAGATTAGCAAAATGTTCTCCCAACACTTTGTGGTGAATGGTAATATAACGATCAGGTTAATCCAACATAGATGCAGAACTAGTTGACATGCCTTGTTGACACATAAGTTGGTAGATCAATGAAGGAAAGGGCAGAGATTCACGCACTGCTCTGAAATTAGCAATAGCCACAATATGACCAAATATCAATTCTCGAATATAAATTGAAAGATCATGAGTCACACAGCAGAGAAATTCAGCCTGATTCTTACGCAAAGTGGCATTATGAGTGGTAGGAAACCAATTATACTGCCCAATTTTAAAAAGAACAGAATATAGTTGAGTTAGCTTGGAGGCATGAAAACCAGTTTTTGGTGGTGGCCACTTCTTGAGCACATTAGCAGAGAGCACATTAGCTAGAGTATCTTTGGAGATAAGAGGACTTAACAGTGTCTTTATTTTTGCATTTGTAAAACTCATTGATCAACTCAAGAGTCACATAAAATATTTTTTCCATCAACTTTCTCATATCGTGTAGACCCAACAACTCAGAATCTATCAGTAAGATTGGCGTATAATTCAACCACCACAGACTTGTCATCAGGCTTGGCACTCACCACTGTACCTAACAAACCCTGAAATTTCAACAACCTAAGAATCCTAGAAATTTGTACAAGATAGAAGCTTCTCGAGATTACACTTACGCAGACGCATGCTCTCCCAACTTTCCTTAGCTAGTTCAGAATAAATTAAAGAGAGTTGAGAAGGGATTACCAACAAAGATTTTGGATCCCGCGGACGATTCAGATGACTCAGATCTGAGAAGGTTGTCATTTGTAGACACAACAAGAGTGTGCTCTAAGTAGGAGTTATTTCCACCGGAGTCGGATGACTCATCTCCCTTAGCAAATTTGCTCTCAAGCTTCCTGCGAGAACGACGCACACATGCAGGCTTGAACTAACCTCTTTCATCTCCACAGCATCTTCATTGCCAATAGTTTCATGTTTCGACTCAGAGTGTTCCTCTGCACTTAGATTTATTTGAGGCATGAGTGGATGAGAACTTTTAAAACTATTGGTAAAGAATGGTTGTTTATGAGATTTGTGAAGAGAGCAAAAATACATAATGAAGATTTATTTGAGACATGAGTGGGCAGGGAGAACGAGTTGACAATATGAGTGACAATTATGGATAACGTATCTCCAAGTCTTTTATGTCAACCGTCCAACGTTGTCCGCTCATGCACATAAGCAACTACTTTATCCAAAAGGAAAGGAGTCGGGAAGAGGGTACACGCCATTTTCACATTTTCCTTTGAGTAAGATAGCCCCCGTGATATTATCCTTCACAAGAAAATGAAAGTGGTGAAATTCAATAAAGACATTATGTTGTTTGGTGAAATAATGGACATATATCAAATTCTTTTTTATACTTGGAACAAAAAGAGTATCACATAGATTAAAAGTTTGATTATGATAAAAGAGATTAACTGAACCCATGTGCAAGACAGGCAAACCTGAACCATCACCGAGGACGACTTCATCATTGCCAGTGTATTCAAAGTGAATAGACATGTTTGATAAGTCTGAAGTGATATTATGAGAGGCTGCGGAGTCCACAAACCACTTCTTATCTTTTGCAAATGTGGTATAATTTGTTGTGGGCTTGTGGCCTGTAAATTAGATTGCAACTTTGAGCAATATATTGTCGTATGGCCAATTGTGTCACAAAATTGTCACTTGGGATTGTATTGAGTTTTACGGTAATTATTTCGAGGTTTGACTTGGCCAAAAAAACCACGCCGAGAAGTGTCGCCGTTTGTATTACATGAATTCCTAAAAGATTTTGGATTGAGTGAAGTTTGGTGTTGCTACAAGAGATTGAGCAACGGATTTCATTCGCTGTAGATAGTTTTCGTATCCAACTAGCATGTCGTGCAATTCTTCAAAGGTGAGGGATGATTCTCGGAAGCGGATGGGAGCAAGATGACCTCACGGTATTCAAGTCCTTGGCCATTGAGGATATAGAGTGTGACAATTTCATCGGCGAGAACCATGACGGTGTGAAGATATTCCGTAACAGACCGGGGACCACAATGGGACATGGTGAGCTCCTCATATAAATTGCATAACACGAGTCCTGGAGCGATTGGCGTAAAGTTGGATCAGCTTTGTCAAAGCACCATGACAAGTAGGTGTTCGGGCAATCAACGGACTGATTGAAGGAGTTTAATTTAGGTGACGATGATTTGAGGAGATATTTCAATTGCGGAAGAAGGTTATTTGTTGGAGACTGGCTCAATTGATACCATAGAAACTAAAGACTATTGCTATATTAAAATAGAAAACTCAAATTTTATATTCTCACGAGTTCTTACAAAATTTATACGATTGCAAAAATTATTTTTTTGAAATAAAATTGTTACAACAATCAAGCTATATATGTTGAAAGTTTGCTTCTGAAAATCAACAGCAAATGCCTTGTGAGTGGACGCGAGATATCAGCTGCAAATTAGCTTATATTACTGTTGTGAATCCGTCTTTGTTACTAAGGTACATGATTCTCTAGTAAGAGTGTCTTGCTAGGGGTAGAAATCCGATCGAAAGTAACGCTTTCGGACAAAATTAAATATTTTTTTGTTTTCAGAGTGAAACTAATTCTAATTCAGTTCGAAAAAAATACGAAAAAATGTTAAATGTCGTAATTTTGATATAGGAAAGAAAAAACTTCTTCGGATCAGAATATGTGGAATTTTTTAAAACAATATATATATTTATTCACGTATATTACGAAATAAATAATAAAATTGATATTTTAAATTTAATATTAAAAAAACTTGAAATTTTCGAAATTATTTTCAGAGAAATCAAAATCCCATTCCAATTCCGATCTGAAAAGTCGAAAATCAAAATTTTTGGAATTCAAATTGAAAGCGCTGTTCCAAATTGTAAATTGTTGAATGGAAATCGACGGAAATCAGAAATTTTATTTTAATTTCCACCAATACGGTCTTGAGTGTACTATAAACTCAATTTTGATTCTAATGCGTGAAGCCCAAATAATAGAGGCCACTTGTAAGCTTTAAGTCATCTGTCTGGGCTGGCCCAGTTAATTAGTTTCAACATCAGAGAAAAAACTTTTTTAGCCCATCTATCAATATAAAAGACAAGATAAAAATTCTCTGGAGCAGTAGCCAGAATGCACTACAAAACAACCCCACAACATTGGTTTAAGTCAAGTAAACATATTTAAAAAAAACCGTGATAAGCAAAATTTGCATCAAATTCTTCTGTGTTTTCATTTTAGGTTGCATGAAATGCCCATTTTGTTAAAAGTTAACATCATTAACTATTGAGGAGATTTTATGCAATATTTTTGTAGCATAGAGGGATTTGGTGCATGTTTTTTGCAACACAAAATTATTCTTTTTTTATTAAAAATTAAAATTATTTTATTAACATTAATTCGAATAAATTTATTAATTTACAATATGAAATCAACAAATAATAATAGAGATGGGAAGTGAAACCCATTTTCAAATTATTTATATTTATTTTACATATAATTGAGATAGAATAAATTATATATATATATATATATATATATATATATATATATATATATATATATATATATATATATATATATATATATATATATATATATATATATATATATATATATATATATATATATATATATATATATATATATATATATATATATATATATATATATATATATATATATATATATATATATATATATTATTTTAATATTATAAATACATATTCTAGAAAAATCAATTTTATAAATACATTAACAAATTATATTGTATGGGAATTAAAAAAAATAACTGGAATTTGAAAAAACAAAAACTGTGTTTAAAACAAATACTCCAGCCCAATTTTTTTTAATATTGAAACTCAAAAAAGGTGTTTCGATTTTTAAATGAATAAACTAATTTTGCATAAAACCCCATGTGTTGTAGAAAACATGCACCAAATACCACTATTTTACAAAAAAAAAGAAATTTGCATGAAATCCCCTCTATAGTTGATGGCGTTAACTATTAACAGAAAAGGGGATTTCATGCAAAGAAAAACGAAACATGGGGGGATTTACGCAATAAAACAAACACAAGGGGGTTTGGTGCAGATTTTACTTAACACAAGGGGTTTTCATGCTGTTTACTCGGTTTAAGGCCGGGAGTTAGATATTGGTGGAAACTTTTTTCTTTTTTTTTAGAAGCATATTGGTGGAAACTAGGGGTGTAGATGAGCCGAGCCAGCTCGTGAGCTCGGTGAGCCGGCTCGACAAAAGACTGAACTTGAACTTGCTAGGGTTTTTTTTTTAAATATAATTAATATAAAATAAATAATAAATTTCGTATAAATAATTAAAAAAATAAATTACATGTCATTTTTTATTTAGAAATTTATTATTATAATTTATAAATTATAATAATAAATTTATAATAATATTAATAAATAAAAAGAAATACACATAATGGCTCAGGCTCGAGCTCGTTAATATGTATTCGAGCTCCTAGTGGAAACTATAATTGCACATATTTCTTAGTAAGAGAAATACATGAAAACACTTTTGGGAATTCTGCGTAGTTCAAAAACACAAAGCTCACATTTCAAAGTGTACTTGGTTCGAAACCACACAATTGACACAATCAACAAAAATAAGTTGTACTACTACACTAAGGAAACAGCATCACATTGAAATGACAATTGAAATCAAAATATAAAAAGCAGGTGGACTTATTCACTAAGTCCTAAGAAATAATAACACACTGAAATTGCATACAAGGACAGTTGGAAAATCCTAAGTGAAAGAAAGAAAGACGAACCAAAAAAAAAAAAAAAAGATTTACCGAAGAACAAGAACAACAACAAGAAGAACAAGAACAACAACAACAACAACAACAACAACAATATTATTCGACAAGAATTGCTGATGAACCTGCGCTCATCTTTGGGACAAGAAATGCTGATGAACCTCCACTACTCATCTTTCGGACTATCTTCTTAGTGAAATGAATTGTATGGGCCATCACGAGAAGAGTCATCAAGCCGATCCACACAACTATGGTAATCCCTATAACATTATCAAGTGTTCGATTTTTGTTGGGCGTCAACGCTACTATAGAGACAACATAAGCAAATGCAATAGTTGTGATTGCAACCCACGTGATCACTATCAGAATCCACATATAGAATCTTCTCCTTATCGGCAATCCACTCACCAAGAGCAATATAATGCTCAGAGACGAAACGAAACTGAATGTCGTAATGATACAAAATCTCGTGTATCCGCGAGGGTGCTTAGTTGCATATATGGAAAACCCCGCATATTGAGGATTGGGCAAAGGGTTTCCTTGATCGTCGCGTAGTTTATCATCTTGCCAGACTCCGCCTGGTGGGTTGACTCCAACTTGAAAAGCCATTGATGCGGTGAGAGAAGCCACAACCATCAGTGCGCTTTTGTGCTTCTCGAGCCATTCAAGTTGCTGCTTCATCATCCCATTCCAGCTATTGTCCTTCTGCAATTCTGGAGTGGAAGAAGAAGCCAAGTCCGGCTGAAGACTATTATTATTATTATTTGTCTTCAAGTTTAATTCCAGTTCCTCCAGCTTTTTTAAGTGACTCTTCGATTTCCATGTCTCTCACATCCCTTCTGCTTTGAATCAAAACGTCCACCGCTGTTAGCCCGTTAAGATTCACCGCATTCACTTCAAATGCAGGCACATTCAACAAGAAGTTGATCGTCTGTATGTTTAAATATCAGATTGTGGTGCGTCAGAAACTACATTTTTGTGGAGTACAAACTAGAGAACATTCCACGGAATCTAGAAGATTACGTTGAATTTGACACCATAAGAGGTGGTTGTAATTACTCAAACAAGAAGACTTTTTTCGTAATTTGACCGTATGAGGGAGTGACCGTAATTTACCCTAATAATAAAAAAAATAAAAAATAAAGTATGAGATATATGTACGTATGTATACCTCAACTTGCTTGTCTGCGACAGCTAAATGAAGGAGTGTATTTCCATCACCATCTTTAGAGTTTATGAAGTTAGGATGGGCTAAAGCAGTCTCCACCATAAGCTTAAGTGGCTCTAGCTGGTAGTGTTTGACGCATAAATGAAGGATGTTTTCGTCTCTATACACCGTCATTTGTGCCGCTTCAGGTTCGGCTTGAAGCAAAATCTGCAAGACTTCGATCCTGCCTTTGAGTGCCGCTAGGTGGAGCGGGTTTAGCCCGTTTCTGTCACGGGCAAGGCATATTGTTCGACTATCAACTGATGATAAAATGGCTTTGACTACACCAACATGGCCCTTGGATGATGCTAAGTGAAGAGGAGATGATTTGTGGGAATTCAACTCATTTACGAGCTCGGGTTTTATACTTACGATTTCCTTCACAAAATCAGTATGCCCCAACATGGCTGCCACATGGAGAGGAGTGTCTGAAAAGGAGTTAACGGAGAATCTATCGAGAACGAGTGGATCTTGATTGAGCATCTTTTGCAATGAACTGATGCTTCCTTTCATTGCAGCTTCAAGCAGCTTGGCTTCGATCTCGGCTGAGCTGCCGCCGGACATGTTTATATTAATGGAATAATTGTCTGCCATGTATGTCCGAAAGCTGATTGAGGTGTGTGTGTTTGTGTGTGTTTGTGTGCGTGTGCGTGTGCGTGTGTGGTATATACAGGGGCGGAACCACCTTCAGACTTGGGGGCTTCTGCCCCTGCATGAAAAAAGTTTTGGTCATTTTTTAATATTATTTTATTTTATATTTTTAATTATCTACTAATTTTGTCCTATAGCCCCTAAAAAAAAGTTTAGCCCCCAGGGTCTGGGTCCGCCCTGGGTATATATGTTGGCTAAATAAATGAGTTGTGACTGGGGTTGACTTGTGCAAGACCAATAATTTTCATTCTTTGATTAGAGCATCTCCAATTATTAAAGCATCACGCACAAAATACACGAATCAAATCGTATATTTAGTTGGATAAACGGTATGAAATGTTGGTGTACCGAAATTTCTGTTCGCTTTTACCGATTTAATATCACTAAATTTACCTCTAGAGGGGTTTTTTCATAAGATAATACATAGTTGTGGGGTGGCTGTAATAACCCAAACATGAGGGCTTTTTTTCGTAATTTGACTAATTTGCCCTATGTGATATATTTAACTAACGAGAACATTTCAAATCGAATAAGTTCAAAAGATAAAAACAATTCGAAATCAAAAAATTTAATGTGATTGAAATATTAAGATTTTTAATAGAATGATAATTGCACAATTATTGCGCAAACAAATATTGTTCAGTAAAAAGCTATATATATATATAAACCGGCGGATATATGCAAGCCCATTTTTTTATTAGTTCAAACCTACATAAAAGGGTTTATTAGGACATTACAAATAAGTCCATCAATGGGTACTTATTCATAAAGAGATCCAGACAAAAAACTCGTTTACCAATAAGTCCACAAATGGTCCAGATTTTTGTAAAAGACTAAAATAACTCCTCATACTTTAATATGCTCAAATTTCATCATTAACTTAATTTAACCTCAATTTGATTCCAAATTTCACAAATTATTCAAGTTTTTCAAGTTTTTTTTTCTCCGGCGTTAACTTTTCAAGTTTTTTTTTCTTCCGGATTTTTTCGCCGGTCTCTGGCGTTGACTTTTTCGATTTTTTTTTTATTTTTTAATTTTTTTTCTTTTCTTTCTTTCTGTAACTTTTTTTTTTCGTTTAAACAGCAATATTGCTGTGATTGACAGTAATATTAACTATATTACTGTTAAACACAGTAAAATTAACTAAACTACAGTTTAACACAGTAATATTGCTATATTAATCTCTAGCACAGTATTATTATCACAACAAAACTCATTATTATTGTGTAATGGAGTAATATTACTATGTTGACCGTTCAACAAATGTAAACGTAATAAAAAACCAAAAGAACTAATATTACTGTGAGTGACAGTAATATTACCATAACAACAGTAATATTACCGTCAACCACAGTAATATTACCATAATATACAGTAATATTATTACGCTACTCCATGAATAACTCAAACAAACATAAAATTTCAAACAAAATAATAATATTGATGTGGTTGACAGCAATATTACTATAACAACAGTAATATTACCGTCAACCACAGTAATATTATTGTGTTTACAGTAATATTACAATAATAGACAGTAATATTATTACGTTACTCCGTGAATAACTCAAACAAAACAAAAAACCCAAAAAATAATAATATTGATGTTGTTGACAGTAATATTATTGTATTTACAGTTATTTTACTGTAAACGACAATAATATAATTACGTTGATTTGTCGACAAATCAAACAAAATAAAAAAAATAACAAAAAATAAAAAATTATAATATTACGTTAATTTACTGTCAACGGCAGAAAAATTACATAAATGTATTGTCAACGGCAGTACAATTACGTTAATTAACTGTCATTGACAATATAATTACGTTAATTTACTGTCAGTGACAGCACAATTACGGTCAACGTTTAGTGACGGACGTTAAAATAAAAAAACAATAGAAAAAAAAACAAAAAAAAACACTAAAAAAAGTCAACGCCGGAGACCGGCGAAAAAATCCGGAAGAAAAGAAAATAAAAAAAAAGTCAACGTCGGAGACCGTCGTTGACCGCCGGTCAATGCCGGAAACCGGCGAAAAAATCCGAAAGAAAAAAAAAATTGAAAAGTCAACGACGGAATCCGGCGGCAAAATTTTTTTTTTGAAAAACAAAAAGTTTTGGGTCAAAATTGAATAATTTGTGAAATTTGGGGTCAAATTGAGATTAAATTAAGTTAAGGATGAAACTGGAGCATATTAAAGTATGCTCTAATTTTGAAAAGTCAATGCCAGAGACAGGCCGGAATCCGGCGGAAAAAAAAAATTTGAAAAAAAAATTGAAAAAAAAGTTACAATTGAATTTTTGTGGTCAAAATTGGATTTTTGTGTACAAAATTGACTAAATTGGGGTGACAATTAAGAATTGGGTTAAATGGTTGAGGGTAATATTGGCATATACATGAATGTTTCCTTTATTTATAATAAATATTATGGTTAATAAGATGTTAGAAGTCTCTTAAACCAAACCTAATTAGATATGGAATACAACCCTAATATTTTTTTATGAACTAAATCCCTCATTCTCTGATAAATTTTAAAGACATGCCATTTTTTTATTTTATCCCAAGACTGCCCTTACGGTAACAGTTATTGGGAATAGAAACATATCACGTTCCTTCTCTTTCCTCTATCTCTCTCCCGATTCTTCTCCACAGCCTATATTTCTCCTCACCTCTTTCTCTATCCCTCTCCTGTAGATTTTTATTTTTCCCGTTTTTTCTCATCCATCTTTTTTTTTCGCTTCTCGTTTCTTTTTTCTGATTCTTCTCCACCACTATTCAACATTAAATCATGTCGCGTAACCCAGGCCAGGTCCGTAAAATTTTAATTCTTGCAATTTCTAAGTTTATGCCATATTAATGAATCCCAATTTGATACTGATTTGTGGAGGTGCATAATTAAGTCTGCTACGATAATGTGCTTGAATAAAACTTGGATCTGTTGTGTTCGACACTAGTGGACTGTGCGTATTGTGAAATCAGGTATAACTATTCACAATAATTTTGATATTATTTTTTAGGGATTCGATGTGCAGCTATTGAACTTTGTTTGGTTTATTGAGTGAGTTGAAGTCTCGAAGTGCATCTTCTGGTCTTTTTGAATTTTCGTAACATGTGAATTATGCTTACATATTGGTATTGTTAATGATTTATTATCGATCGTATTTGTGTTTGCTAATTGCATATTCATGAAAGTCTGAGTTATTTTATGTGAATGCTTTAAGCTTTAGTTTCATCGTGTGTATACATAATCACAAAATTTATTGTTATTGTTGGAATACAAGGACAGAGTATATTATAGTCATCTTCATGCTTGCCAAATATTCATAGTCTATTATAGTCTACGTATATGTCTTTGTGTTGTTTGTTTAGACGATTATAAGATTATGTGTTAGGATTAGAAACGATTATTTGTAGATGTTATTTACAGGTTGTCATATACATGGACTTGGATCTGCTTCGTTGTGGATGTAATTGCGTTTGGACTAATAATTATACATGAACAAATCATGGTATTATATAGTCATCTTGCTTCATAAGTAAACGACAAATTTGTAGTATCTTTAGACACATTTTGTCTGTACTAATTGTTTATAAGATACTATAAAAATTGTTCATTATGTATTATTTGATTATATGATTATTTGTTAGGATTATGACTGAATATTTGTAGACGTTGCATACAAGTTGTTGTATACAAATGGTTGTGTTTCAGGATGATGATGATTGTACATGAATAGAGCATAGGAATAAATAACCACTTTCGTGTTTCCTCGTACGAACAAAGTTATGCTGAAGCAATATACCCTTTCTGGAGACCCGGAGTTGACCTTCTTTTAGCTGTCAGTGGTCCTAATGAGTCCCAGTCTAAACATGGTAGTATGAAAACGAAGAGGAATTCAGGGGGAGTGTGTCCAAGATGATGAAGTGTAGCCGATGCGATTGTTATTGGATTACCTATGGGTTTTTGCTTTTGTTTATGCATTTTCTAAGGCTTTTATGAGTTGTATGTGCATGTTTGTGTTCATTTGATTGGTTTATTCAGCTGTAATGGTAGCTATTATCAACTGTAGTCATTGTTTTTTGTTATTACACGTTTGTATGACTATATTTTTGTCTGGTGTATATTCAAGTTTGTATGACTATATTCAAGTTTTTTTGAGTATTATACGTTTCACGTTGGTATGACTACATTCGAGTTGTGGTTGTTTTAATGTTTCTTTTATGTATGATTATCTAGTATACCATAGTAATAGTGGATAATCATAGATAAAACTTTTTTTTTTTTTTGTTATATTACACTAACAAATATGGCCAGAATAACGAGAATTAATGTGAATTAGTAAATTGTTGATTGAGTATAGAAATAAACATTTGATTGAAAATTGAAAAATTAAAGAAACCAAGAAAATTATCAGAACAATCACTCCTTATCCCAGTCTTTACACACATCATTGCTGTCAAAATTACACTTGATAAAAAAAAGTGCTTATTTTCTTGTAATACGAGCTCATGCTCGATTATGTCAGCATTTGTAATCTCTTTTGATTTCTTTTGTTGTCTACAAGTTTGCTAGGTATGGTGCATTCATTTTTCAAAAATGGAAAAATGCTTTGGTTCGATGGGGTTGAGCAATGTGGTACGCTTGCATATCGATTACTGCAAATAGAACAAGAATAAACAATTGTTAGTCATAGATGAAAGATCATTTAGTAGTTTTTTTGGCATGACGTGCAAGTGGATTTGTGAGAGAGAAAACATACATTATTTTACTGTGATTGTCTATGTTATACTGTAAATGACTATGATTGTCTATAGTATACTATTGAATACTATGATTGACTACATTTTCGTCATGGATTTTACCATGATTAAAGGTATGCATCCCGTTACTTTTGCATGTTCTAAGTATCGGA